GTCCACAGCCTGTACAGAGGTTCGTTAGAGGATCGGAGAGACACGTCGTAGACAGACATTTTGGCGATGAGGAATATGATGTCTGTCACAACAGTGAACGTTGCCTAATATTGATCTTGGATCCTTGCAATGGTCAGTCATCACAAACCTTGTTGACTTTGCTGTTCAAGCTGTATTAAAGAATTTAGCTAATTTGTGGCACCTGCAGAAAATTAATATTCGTCACATCAGTGGTGCAGGAGTGCCGACTTCATAGATTCACAGAACGATGAGCATAGGGTTTAAAATATCTGGTTTATGAAATTCTCTAATCGGGGAGTCCCAAAAGCCACCGCTCCGATAGACAGTACCAAACGCAGAAAAACAGCATCCTTCGGGCAGACTTGCAGTTGTTTCAGACCTCTGTCACGGATGCTGTAAAAACAGTCGATATCGCAGGACCTCATTTGCTGCCTTACGAACGCCCATAGGCCTGAGCTCTGTCGCTCCACTGGCAGGATATTGATAATCCGCCATCGTTCCGCCACTCTCTTGCCGACATCAGCCGAAAGGGGTGCTACAAAGCGGCGTCAAAACGTGAAGATCACGAAAGCCAGAACCAACCGTAATCGCCGGTCTGAGGATGCTGCGGAATGGTATCAAGATTTAGCAGATAAATCAGTTCAAGTAACTCGAGACAATCTAGACTAGTGACGGGGGCAGTGATCCTGAAATGAACCACAGCACTGGACTGGTTCGCATAAGCGAATTGTGAAAAGGTGTATGGCATACGGAAAGATCGAAATGTACGAAAGACCACGACAGTGGTCTGCGGAACTGAGAGTCCAGCCCATGGCCCAAAAGCAACACGAAAGAGCTTTCAAAACCTGTCTCGGTGGGAATCGCTCACTGGCCCATTGCCGAGCATTAGTAAACATGGAAGCATCTCCCTGAGGCATACCTGCTGATGATGAGGAATATTGGCGCAGCATGAACATAGCCAACTATTACTTTGAAATACCATTTCTAACTGGCCTGAAGTACGCATGTTTTATCAACACCTTGAGCACTTGCAAAGGCAGAACGTTTCTGTTCGTTGTGTTGGCAATTTTGAGACCTGCTGATTGGTATTTGAGTTAGAGGTTCACAGTCCATAATAGAATCCACAAAAGTTAACTTATGAGTGTAGAAAGCCTCGAATATTGACCGCTGATAAAGTCATCCCCCTGGAAAAACTTCTTAATTGGGAAATGCTGGATACCACCTACAGGCAATTAGCCAACTCAGAAATCTTAACATCTCTTCCCAA